TCCACAAAGTTCCTTCAGTAACAGATGACACAGCAGTGGAGGTAAGTGATGTAGAACAAATAAAGTCTTCTTTTCCATAAATTGTATTAGATGCTGTTTTGGTTTAACACTTTTAAGCCAATTCAGAAAGATTTACAATTTCCAACATCATATGTTAGCCATGCACTATAACCTGTTATTCCTTAATGCCATTTTTGAGAAAGTCATATTGGTGATGCAATAAATAAAATGATGGAAGATCTAATGCATATCAGAAAGAGAAAAGAAAACAAAAATTCACCTCCTAATAAGAAATAATGGATTAAAGATCGTGAAAGATTCTAATGTTGCTAAATTGTCAAGTGAATTTTGTTTCCTCCACAAATTACAGGGTGTACAGAAATGAATGGTGGGGTTTCGTGACATTGCCATTATGTCGCTACTACAATACCCAGCATTAGATGCATATCCACTTATTTATATACCCATATAGTTTTGTTTAAAGTAGTTTTTCGTGTTGCAGGGTTCTGTTCTAATTAGTACCATTCAAGAAAAGGCAGCATGTGTTCTGTGGTTAGCTGAGCTGAAGTCGGTGAAGTTGGTCCAACAACAATTTAGAAGAGAGTACAACAAATATCCACCACATGAAAACAACATACAAAGGTGGTTCAAGACTTTTTGCAGGGCTTTGAATGCCAAATTCTCCAACTGATGGATTGGAAGAAATGGGCCAATTGCATGGCCCCCAAGAAGTCCCGACCTCATGCCTCTAGACTTCTTTCTGTGGGGCCATGTGAAGAACATTGTGTACAGCAAAAAATTTCTGATTTGGCTCTCTTACAACAAGGTGCCACTAGAACAATTGAAAGTGTTACCCTGGAGAGTCTTAACCGAGTACGGACAGAAATGGATTATTTATATGATGTGTGTCCCACTGTTAATGGTGCACACATTGAAGTTGTGTAATACCATTTTAAAAACCTCTTGAAATGGGTAAAATTGCATTTACAACTTTTGAAGTTGATGAATCAAATAAACATAAGTTCAATGCACAGTGAGTATCTGTCTTTTACCAATATGCTTACAAAACCCCACCATTCATTTGTTTACACCCTGTACAATTAATAATAACGAATGATCTGGAATCCCAGCAAACTATAGTTGATCTCCAAACAGTTATAAACGTCAACCTTCATATGTAGCACTTTCAAAATTAATAGCTATACAAAATGATTAAATTATAAATATGCCTAAAAAAACTTTACAGGATCTACAAATAAGGTGGACTTAAATATACTAAAAAACTCTCTCTTTAAAAGGTTTTTGGAATAAAAGAGAGAGCAACATTCCCCTGTGCCATTAACAGTAACAACATCACCACAAACATCGACAATAATCAAAGGTCCCTATTTGATGCATGCTGAAAAATGTTGTAACCATTTGTGTAAAAGTAAACTCAAAAACATTATATTCAAAGAATCAGCAAATTCAGAAGTTGCTACAACACTCAACAGTGCAAGTGTGACTTCTCTATCATCGCTATCTAAATTCTAAGTATCTTGAAGTTCAACTTCAAGGGATAACACATGTGACATATCACTTTAGAATAAAACTGAAAGCACCCTTGAGAAACGAGCTTAAAGTTGAAACTTGATTTGCAAGAAGTTCAATAAAAAAAAATATTCAAATTTCACCTTATCTACTTAAATGGATCCTTACTTTGAAAAATATCTTTCAAAGAGCAATGGAACCAAAACAGAACTATAAAATACGCCCTCTATTGAGAGCTATGAGCAATTTAATACGGTCTACGTATAGGCATCTACCTGTGATACGCGAAGTATGCTTGTTTGTTTGAAATTATGCACAAAGCTACACAATAGGCTATCTGTGGTCTGCTCACCACAGGTATCGAAACCGGTTTCTAGCGTTGTAAGTCCGCAGACATACCGCTTTGCCACTGGGTGGTGCGAAGTATGCTACAGAGTAGCGTTGTGTCTCATTTAATTGTACGCTAACTGAAAAAAAGATACATGCGAATCAAAGTAACACACATATTTCTATAGCCTAAACACTTTTTTCTAGCTACGTAGTGAAATTATTAAATGTCTAACGTATCACAAGAGGTTAAACATTTCATTAACCGTCTGAATCTTACTAGCTACCTGTTTCTTATTTAAATTCTGAATTGTGGGAACAATGGAAATATTTACAAAGTTCATAACTGGTGAACACCAAAGAAAAATATTTAATGTTAATCCAGTACAGTTTGGTACCTATTGCTTTTGACTCATTTATATAAAAAACAAGAGGGAACCTCAATAGCCGCGACACTTGAAATTATTTTAGGCAGGATAAGAGTAAATTGATCTATGAGACCTTTTTTATTAGCTATATTTTTGTGCGCAAGCAATACCAAGCATGAGACGCGAGTATAACCGATTCAGTTTTATTACTGACCAGGATCTCTAACAGCATACCCTCAAATTGAAATTCTTTTAGGCAGTAAATTAATCCATGAGACCTTGGGCGTGA